AAACATTGAGGAAGTCTTTGTTGCTCAATCCTAAATTTATTAGATTCAATGTGACTAACCACTCCCTTCCTTTCTGGGGTGAAGAGGAAGAATGTAGATCATGAGATCAAAGGTTTCTTCGGGCTGAAAACAATTGTATTAAAGGACTCTAAGAGGGAGATACAAATAATTCTTTTCAGAACCAACGTTTATTTCAAACAGGAGCAGGGATTATGGGATCCTTTGCTTTCCCCTCACAAGGAGGGGCATCTGGTTGTGAGTGAGGAGATAGATTCATTGTCCCTGTGCTCTGCCACTCAGAGCAAATTGGCTTTGTGACGTCTACTTAACTCTACTGGACTTCGCTGAAGTGGTACCATGGGAGGCAAACAGGATAAGATCTTCCTTTAGCTCTAGTTGTTTAATCTGTATTTTTGTTTTCCCCACAGATTGGAGACTATCTGCTCCACAGTACAAAGCAGTAACCAGGAACAGTTAGGTGAATGACAGTTTGTTATTTGATACATCCCCAGTTTTAACCTAGTGAAGCATACGGTTCTAATGCCGTAGAACTCCAGTGTTGGAAGGAGCTTAGCGATCACTGGGTTTTTCTACCCACACATATTGGTGAGAGAACTGAAGTGGCACTATTTGACTTGCTAAGGAAATACAGATAGGAAGTTCTTTCCATTTTACACTGAAAGGTATTTAACAGTCTACTACTTTAAGTACTGTTCTCCTTTGTCACGAGTATATTTTCATTTTCGTTGTGGATGAGGATTTCCTCTCCTCTAGGCTGTGCGATCCATGAGAGTGGAATTGTTATCAGTCTTTGCAGCATGGGCAGAGTACCCGGTGATCTTAGATGAATCAGCCTTTTGCCTTTAAAAGTCAAGTTTTATGAGGGTAGTAGCTCACTTTCCTGTGCTAGAAATGAGAAATTATTCTAAATAAGGTTATTAACTATATGTGAGAAACATTTAATTATCAAGAAGTTGCTGATGAAGACTCTGGACATACTCCAGAAAAAATGCACACATACATACAAACACATGCCAATATCATATTGTGTACAGGGTTTTTGACCCCCAGAATCATCCTGTTGCTCTGTAGTGGCTTATTGATCATGGGTCTTGAACTTCTTGCCTGAGTCATCATTCAATTAAAATCCATCATGTGCATTATTTCCATATTGAAACCAGTGGAATAAATAAATGATCATATCTTCGCTTCATTTATTTCAGAAAGAATCAGCTTGTAGATTTTCTAAGAGTGTATTGCTAGAACAAGAGTGAGGATTTGAGAGTCTGGACGATTGAAAGAAATGACAAACTGGGAAGAAGGCCTTAGGACAGAATCAGGAGTGATTGTGGTGGGTTAGGTCAAAGGTTTAGGTAGACAGAACAAAGGATACATTTAGGACCTGGAGGTAAATGCTGCTGTCCTTTGAGGAAAGGTGGGGCTGGTTAAGGAAGTGCAGAGCCAGCCTCCTCTGAAAGGCATATGAGAAGCAACACACTCACCCGCTACCCAATCGGGGGAGAAAAAGTTTCCATTCAAAAGAATTATAAACTATGGACAGTCTTAAAAATCACGTGCCTGAGACTTACCAGTTTAGGAGAAGAAACAAAATTAAAGCGCTGAAATATATTGCCAAATTATTAGTGTTTAACTTTCATGAGTTTGCAGTCTACAGAGCCAGCATCCACTTCTGATTCCTGAAATCCTGGGAGTGTATTCACCTTAGGTGTTAAGAGGTATGCTCTGGACTTAACCTTTTTTCCCCTCTTGGCTTTAGTTGATGATCCCGTGGAAACAAAAATGACTTTGCTTAGTTTGGCAGAAATGCAAGAAAGATAAGCTGCTTGGGGAAGAGGGAACCTGTTCCAATCCCTGTCCCAAGGTCTTTTCAAAATGTGTGCGTCAGCCTGAGAAATTTTCATATGTAATGCCTAAGTCTAATTATTTAGTTTGGCTGCAAAGGGTTGGCGAAGCATGCTTTAATCGTTTTGATGCTAGCATTGTCACAAGGCAACATTAAATCATTTTGAAATGATAATACTTCAGGTTAGTCACTATTTTTGCAGCTGCTTTTCCTTGTCACATTTGTTTGAAACTAATAGAATCAGTTGTGATAAAAGAAAATAAAGCAAAAGACTACATCAACGTTATATTCCTTTTCCTCACTGTATAAGTAGAAACAAAAAATGAGATGGGAAATTCTTAAACGTCCTCCTCCCCCCACTGGTATTACCATAATTCAGGGCTCCCCGTCTTTCAGAAACTTTCTGGGTAGTTTCCCTTCCTCCTCCTTTCATGATTCTCATCCATCCTGAACACTGCAGCTGGACGTATTTTTCTAACAGTTATAGTCTTTGTCACTTTTCTGCATGAAATATCTTAGTGGCTTCGTTACTTACACAGTAACTAAACCCCATAGCATGCCATCTTAGGCCCTGACTCTCTGGAGCCGCCTTTGTGTCCAGCCTTACGTCTCACTGGTCCCTACTTCAATTCCACAAATATTTATGAAGTACTTATTTTGTCTCGGACTCCGAGCTAGGTGTTGGGGGTTCAAAGATGCGTGTGATATGGTTTTTGCTCTGAAAGAGCTCACAGTCCAGAGTAAGAGAAATATTAAAAACATGGTGTGTGAGTGCAGCGTTCAGTGATATATGCCCTTGTACATCCTAGTATTCTTCTGCCTGCAATAAACTTTTTTTTTTATATCGTTCCTGGAAAGCTTGGATCTATCCTTCAAGACTGTTCTCAAATATGACCTCCTTTGGTAAGGTGATGCATTAATTATTGGAAAGATTTGTTGATGTTTTGTGTATAAGTTTCCATTGACACTTATTTCACTTTTGTTTTATTTTATGTACATCTCTATTTGGACATTGATCTGTGAGCCCCTGGGAGGCGGGCCTCAGTCATCCCACAACTTTAACTATACACTCAATACCTAACATGTACTAGATGCTTATAAATATTTGTGGACTGAATAGCTTTATAATATTCCAGTATTCTTAAAAAATAGAGATGTTCTAATCTCCATAAGCCATGTTTAATGAAAGATGAGATAGTATTTTTCTTTAATAGAACTATTTGGCCCAAATGGAGTTTAATATTCATGTTCAAAATAACAGTTCATATTGATTGAACTTTTCCTATCTTCAAGGCATTATTCTAAGAACTTTAAGTAAATTGCCTCCTTTACATCATGAGAATTATATGAATTGGAAAATATGACTTCTTTTTTATAGGTTTAGTATAGGGTCAATATATTCTCTTGGAAATCCCCTTGCATACTTTCCATGTTGCCCTTCATCCTTTATTAAACAAGGGGAATCCCATGGAAGATACAGAATTGCCTGATTGAATAAAAGTTTGTGTGAAATGTTTTCTCTTGTTAAGACTTTGGATCATATCTGTCTTATCTATTCTTTTGCTTCCATTCTTCTTTTCTCAGTTCTACTTACAACCAGTATGGATTTTTTTTCTTGATATTAGCCCTGCAAAGAACAGACATACTGCATTTGGAGATGCTAACATATATTATTCCATTGTGTTTCTAGCCTGAAAACCTATTAAAGTTACATTTAGCTTAATAGAAAAATAATTAGCATAGAGTTCAAATTTCATCCAGTGTACACAAAGCATGATTCATAAATATTAATAAGACATTTATGTTTGGTAAAGCTATACTCACTTGAGAATTCAGATAGCATCATATCTTCTTCAGCATATAGCCTTTGGGTTTGTCAAAACTAAGACCAAATCTATCTTAGTGACTAAGGAAAATAACCTTTAACCATTTTAAATTAGAAAAAAGAGTGAAGAGAATTCTCAAAAATAGGAAATAATAATAAAGTCCACAGTTGATGGATGGAATGTATAGGCTTTAAATTTCAGGGAGTAACATCTTCATTTTAGAGAGTTGAAATTGCTATGATACATTTTAGAAGTATCTTGATGCCTATTTCTGAGATATCTGTTTTTATTTTATTAATTTATAATGAATTACTTGAAAGCAATGACTAAGTTTTAATGTCCAGTGACATATAATCACTGTTAAAAAGTGATGAATGATATTATTATCTTATTGGTATTTAATACTCTAGAGTTGTGAAAATGAGAGGGTATGATAATTACTTGAGGTAAAATGTGTTGAAAAGATTTGGGTTCCTGTAAACCCAGACCTGAACTTAAATGAGAGTCTGTCCATATCACATTTATGAATAAGAGAAAGAATGAAGACCTATAGACAACTGTCAAAGACAAATGGATACTGGGACTGGGATTATACGCATTATTATTAGCTTTGCCATCACATAATTTTGTGACTTTAGGGCATGCGGTTCACCTTGCTGGAATTAAACCTTCATTTGTAAAATCATAAATTTGTGTTAATTGATTTTCGAAGTCCCTTCTGGCTTTACAATTCTGATTCCTTTACTGGTTCAGGATCATATCTCTTTCAGAATCTATGTCTTTGGATCGGGCTTTTGTTTACAACTTCTTGATAAATATGAAACAAGTACAGTGTAATCCTCCAAACATTGGCATCAATCTAAACACTGCCAAAAATAGGAGGAGAAGGAATGCCATGAGATTGACTACACATTACCTTGAGGCTTACTTTGCGTATATTGACTAATTTAACCAGTTTGCAAATATTACTGTAGCTATTTGCAGTATCTACTTTGTAACTTAAGGTGAACACAGGGTTGTAAAATATTTTTATTTAATTTCTTTGTATTAACATGTTTTTATGTACATTTTAATAGCATGCATTTTTCATACATTAAGGTGAATATTGTATCAATAAAATACAAATACAGTAAATTACATCTATGTCTAAATGAGTATGGGCTAAAAACTGTATATTGTTTGCATATATCTAAACTGGAGCTTTTATTCGTTTACAAAGTGGGACACAATGTATATGTATTGAGGTAAATAAATATCTTGCTTATTAAGAATTTTTTCTTTTATTCTACTCTTCTTTTACTTGCCCATAGACTTGCTGCTTTCAAATAGCTGTATTCCCTTTTTGGGGTCATCAGAAGGACTGGATTTCCAAACCATTCTGCTAGATGAAGAGAGGAGCAGGCTACTCCTGGGGACCAAGGACCATATCTTCCTGCTTAATCTGATGGACTTAAACAAAAATTTTAAGAAGGTCAGTTTATTTCTGTATATGTGACTGAGTGTGTTTATTTTGTGCCCTTCTCCTTCTCTATTTTGTTTGAAGTGATTCAATGTGAAATGCAGTATAGCTCATTTACATGTGAAAAAGTACATACTGCCTCTGATAGAAGTCTTAGATTTGTATGGATTTAAGTACATATACATGTTCTTTGTTTAGAGTGAATGAGTATAATACTATAACCTTTGAAAATATGAATGAAAGGTATGAAAGAAGGAGTAAATACATTGTTCTACATCATTCAGGAGGAATGCAAAGCCCTTGACTGAAAAGCTGGCAAATGAGTTCTCAAGTGTTAACATTTACATACATAGCGATTGTTGTAAAATTAATTTTTTATTAACTTTCAAACAACCGGTAAGCATGCTTTAAATTGATAATGTGACTATGGTAGCTTTTTAACAGTATACTGGTTCTCCACACTCTCATTTTATATCTAAACAGATTTCTCCTATGGCCCAATCACGCTCCGACGCTAAAGATTAATAATGCCCCAACTATGGGCTTATTAATAACAATCTTCCTTACCATTAAAGGGAAATATATACAAAACACAAAAGGCACTTGCTGCTGTATCCCACATTTTCACCTAGCACCATAAATACCCAAAGGAAAGGGTTAGGCCTTATATTGGGTTGTCAGAAAAGTCATGACGCGTTTTTGCAATGAAAAACAGAAAAAAATACGTCATGACTTTTCCGACAACCCACTAGTTATTATTAGCTTGTACTTTAGCAAATATCTGCAAGCAAAGATAGATACCAAGACGAGAAGGGACTGAATGACTAAGGAGAAGACATACTATATGACCTGTTCTGCATCTCTGAGGCATCTGTGATTGTGTTTTTCTCCTTTTTCAGTTGTATTCCAAAAGAAATAGTAGGAGCCATAGCAAGGTTTCAGGTCAATAGTTCTCAATATGATGTTAATAGAGGCTTGTCCCCATTCAAAGAGCTGTTTATAGTTCGTCTTAGGACTCTGAAGCTTCACAGAGCATTCATCTACAATGACCACTTTAACTTAACTCTGTAATTCTGAGATACTTTTAATAACTAAATATCAGTTGCTCGGTTATTGGAATATTATCAGCACTTAGGGCTTTAGACTACATAGGGAAAATATTTATCCCCATATATATTAATATTGCTTAATTAATGTCTGCATGAGAAACAATTGTTTTTGCTTTTGAACCATTTTAACTCATAACTTTTCCACACATTTTTGACTGAGGTCCACCAAAGGCAATGGGGTTATTTCTTACGAATCCTCAGACTGAATAAAGAAATAGTCTTTGAATGCAGATGCATATGCATGCATTTCTTATAATCTGTGTTTCTAGAATAAAAGTGAGGGCTAAAATATTGTCGGTAGTTTCTCTTGCTTTGTTGTAATCGAAACACACTTACAAACTCACTGTTATCTTATGTTTCAAAAATTATTATTCTATAGCATTTATAGTAAAGTGAAATAAGCCGTTGATTGTGTGCTAGAATTGAAAAGCTTGCCCTCCATTCTGCCATTATTGCTCCCTTTCACTTATTTTTAAGGGTGTATTTTTTTCTTTAGCATTTCTCTTTAAGGACTCGTACTCCTAGGAGAGTCTTTTGATGGCATCAACTCTATCTCATTATCAGTAAATATCTTAGCAGGGGATGAATCTTTTTATAAACGAGTCCAAAGAAAATCTTAGTCAACTTTGCTGTTTTGCTTTAAGGGAAGCTACAAAGCTAACAGCATTTTCCCAAATATGTCTCGGTTTTAGTATAATAGTAAAAAGCAATTCATACTTTTAAGGAAATGTGTTTTTGTGCTGTTTTCTGCCTTGAGGGATTGGAAGAAAAAGTCCATTTATCTGAATGGAGTGTATTAGATCATTGCTTAAAATAAAGTCTGATAGCACAACTTCCTTCTGTCACTATTTTAAGCAAACCTCTCTTTGGCCATATTCCATGTTAAAAATCTGCTAATATTTAATAAAATAAATATTTATGAAATATTGATTTCCCTTATGATGTTATTGAAAGAAATGGTTATTAGAACACATTATAAAATTAGGGCCTGTACTCGAGATTTCCTGCCTAATTGATATTTCTTTATGTCTTTGTAACATGTATAATTCATAAAGGGGTTATGCATGTAAAGGTATGAATTTATGTTTATGTAGGTACCCACCTTTAAAACTTATATAAATCACTCCAGTGTGAAAAGGTACTCCACAGCAGCAAGTAAGTGTCAAGATGTAGTACTTTAGCAGTGTTTAGACCTACGTGGTTTGCATTGGCTCCGTGCCCCTCGGCAAAAATCCAAACTCCTCTGTGGAAGAAACCACACATGTTGGGACTCTGTGGGGTTGAAGGATGTCCTTTGTATTCCTTGGAGTGAAAGCAATATACAACACATAATTGAGTTATGAGTGACTGGTTGGGAATTTTTTCTCCTCTGGTGGGGGGGGGGATTCTATAGAACATATTCAGTTGAAGTACTGAAATTTAGGAGATATGTTTCAAGTTTTTGTACAGACAAGACTATGCCCTTTGAAAAATAACCATTATCATTTCATACTGGCCACAAACCCTTAGTGGGGAATGACCGGAAATTATAGCAAAATCATGTACAAAACTAAAATCCGGCAATAAATATTTAAGGATACCCTTCTTACTATCTTTATTCCGTTCAGAATCAATTTTAAGTCTTCTACAATGAATTCTGCAGGTATATGCTCAGTAACTTTGATGAGTAAATGACTATAGCGGAAGAAAGTCAACTTTGACATTTAGATATGCTTAAGAGGGATAACAACATTCTGATTTTTTTTCTTTTTTTTTTTTTTAGAGCAAAGGCTGTTTCTACAGGGACTTAATAGACTTAAGGGCAAGTGTAAGCACACATCATGAGGGATGTGATGCCTCACAATTTAAGAGGCTTTTCTAAATTTGCTTCATAAAGCCTCTCTTTAATGAAGAAATACCCTGTGGATTTCTCCCTGGGACAGGTTTGGGACATGTATGCACATTGATTTGATATTCTCTTCTCTCAATGCTAGACCAAAATGGAGCGTTCAGAACCAGTCAGAAGTGATCCCATTCCAAGGGAGGGACATGGGTCTGGAACTGTATTTATCACTCCAGACTGTTGTGTTGTAGGTTGAGTTCCCTCAGAAACCAACTACAAGATGAAGATTAGCTTATAGCATGTTTGTAAGGTAGAATTCTTGGAATCAACATGTGTGAGAGGGTCGCTAAGGAAGCAGTATTAGACAAAGGGAGAACTGAGCTGTGATGCAATTCCAACAAAAGCCTCAGCGGACAGGCCAAGCTGATAAGGTGGAAAACATTTCAATATTTTCCTCTAGTGTTAAGTGATAATACCATTATTTAGCTGGGTTTATCTTATAAAAGAGAATCTCCATTTTCTTCCTATCTAATCCATGCACCGTTACCATCAATGCTATCTCTTAAAACAATAAAACTCTTATATTTCTTCTTGGTTTATACACTTCTGCAGTTCATGATCTCTGAGGAACTTGAATGAATTCCAGATTTTTGCTGACTTCCAAAGCTCTTCTCAACACATTTCCACTCTATGTTTTTATCCACTGTTTATTGTTTCCTCACTCACATTTGAGGGAGATGATAATATCATCTGCTTAACAATGTGATCAAGGACCGGGTTCTTTCTGTCTCTTCTGTCTGCTACCCTTGGTGTTGGCACTGTCCTTAGGTTGGTAGTAAGATGGCTACAACAGTTTCATGGATCAAATACTGACAATGAAATGTAAAGGGATAAAAGACAGTAACTTATTATGCCTCTTGCTTAAGAGCAAGGGAACCTGTCCTAGAACCCTCCCTCACAGCTAATTGGCCAGAAACATGTAAATTCCGATTCTTAAACTCAAAGGAGAAGTGGAGTAACTACAATTTGCTTACACCAGTCAATTACCTTAGGTGGAAGAGATGTTCAGAAATCAATCACACTGATCACTATATTATAGAGAAGGAATAGAAAACAAGCTTCTTGGAAAATATAATTTACTTAGGGGTCCAATCTTTTTTCCTCATTAACTTTGGTTACCTGAGACAAACAAAAGTTTTCTCAGCCAATGAAAAACAAAACAAAACAGTATATTGTCTATTTGGAGAGAATTATCAACATTAGCTAGTTCTATAAGTAAATTTTCTGTAAGGATTTATTTTACTTTTGGGAGATAGTCTTGGGAGGTATTCATTCCAAGTAAAAATCCTTGAAATAATTTATTTTTCTCCACCCTGCTTTGTAAAAGTTAAAAAATCTGCTAACCTTTACAGATACTCCTCTTGCTTATGTAAGAGTTTATTTGCCTCTATAAAAGTTTTTTGTGATTTTTAAATTTAATCTAAGCTTTATAAAATCTAGTGTGCTGCAGATCTCTTCAAATTTGCTGATACTCTTTAAGTTTTCTCCCGCACGACATTATAACTCGTTGGGGGTGATAATGTCAGGAAGGCGTAGATTACAATTTTACTCAAATAATTTAAGACTATATTGTTATTCTAGTTCTACTATTTAGCATTATCCACTAAATATTTTATATAGAGAGATTATATTTTTTTAAAAATCAAATACCTAAATATAACTTAAGCGTTATTGACTACATTTACTATATTTAGCAGAATTATATCTAAAATATTGCTTCTTTGATTTATTTGGATTTGTCATAGTCTGGGGTTGAAACCAATTATATTCATTTGTAGAATTAAAACTTGAGACACGTTTTTAGCGACTGAACTTTGAAAACTCTTTTTTCTTGTTCTTCTACTTTAGTCAGTCTTTCTTTCTTCCTTCCTTTCTTTCTTTCTTTCTTTCTTTCTTTCTTTCTTTCTTTCTTTCTTTCTTTCTTTCTTTCTTTCTTTCTTTCTTTCTTTCTTTCTTTCTCTTTCTTCCTTCCTTCCTTCCTTTCTTTTTTCTATTAAAAAATCATGATTGTCTTCTGTTGA